CAATGTTTTTAACTTGAAAATATTGAGAATCTAGGTTTCTAAAAGCTTTGCATCCTAAAGTTTCATTTTAACAAAAATTTAAAATAATGCTAAGTAAAGTCAGTTATTAAACTAATTGAAATTTAAATTGTAATTAAAGTCAAACCAAACTAAAACTAAATTATCGTTTTACATCCAATAAATATATTATCTGATGCTTTGGATGAACAAATCAGGCTATACATAATGTATTTTCTTAAAATAGCAAAGTGAACTTAGAGTGATATAAAATGAATATTCCATACATTTCAATTCTCTCTAATCTTTTTTTCTCTCCATGGTTCAATTCTTCTCCAAAATTATCTTCCCTGAGTCTCTGCATTGTAATTATGAGAATAGTTCAATTTTTCTTCTGTCATTTTCTTTTAACTTCTCAGAACTTCTCAAAACTGTGCATATTGCCTCTCAACCTTTCCTGTTGCCCTTTCAGTAACCATATGACAGTGGTGGTGAACCTATGGCACGCGTGCCAGAGGCGGCACGCAGAGCCCTCTTTGTGGGCACGTGTGTCATTGACCCAGCCCCGCCTCCCCTGTGGCCACCTCACCATCAGCCCCCCCCCGGTGGAGAGTCGCTCCCGGGTGTGGCCCGTGTGGAGCAGTGCAGCCAAGGACATGGCAGCCAGGCAGCGGGGACAAGACTCTGCCCTTGTGCCCCATCACGCGCAGATGATGCTGCAGGGCACAAGTGGAGGGTGTGGCCGTCATGGTGCTGCAGGGCCGCCTGGGCGATCTGGTGCAGTGGGCGGTGGGTGGCCCTGCAGGCGAGTGGGGTGGGGCGTGGGGGGCCGGAGTGGGGGCAGAGGGGGCCGGGGCGGTTTTTGGGCACTCAGTGTCTAAAAGGTTCACCATCACTGCCATATGACATAGGTAGAGCGTTGAGGCAGGGCTCCATAGAACTTCATGTTCCAAGAGAAAGGATGCTTTGGAATGTGGTTTAAGGACCTTCTTTGTTGACCGTCACTTGTTGATGCACCACCAAATAAGTGTTCAAATCCATTAATTAAAGCAAAAATAACATTTTCAAATTGATGAAAGCCTATGTACAAAATCTGGTCCTGCTCTGCCCATTAGCTTTATGTCCCCAACATGCCCTTCAGCTGATGAGCAAATCTATCAGATTTTATCCCTAATTGCAAACAAAACAAAAACTGTTGCCTTCTGCCTGTTCCTATGGATGTTCTAATGCTTTGGTATTATTACTGTTGTCCAGACTCTTTGTTGTGTTATGCCACAAATTTGGTAAAAACAGTGCACTTGTTTCAATCCCAGACTGACCTTCTCCCTTCAGCTCTGGATTTGACCCAAAAAGGGCTTCTGGACAGCTGCATGTTTTTCCCACAACTTGCCTGGCCATGACCTTTGGGGCCAGGGCTATGTTTGATTTTCCAGGTATGTCAAAGTACCTTTTGGGGACTGACTCCTGAGTATTTTACCACCTGCACTAGAAACATATATGGATAAGTATTTAGCTACTACTGCTTCTGCTGCTGCTGCTGCTGCTGCTGCTGCTACGGCTAATCTTTAGCATGTCCCCATTACTCTGCAGTCTGGTGAAGAACAGATTATCCCAACCTCCAGGTCGAAAGACAGGAACAAATGACTCTCTTGTTCTTTCTCTTGTGAATATAAATGCCCTTCTGGAAAAGGAAGAAAGATGTTTTCTTCCTTTCCCTTTAGCGTTTTATTGCATAGTTGGTCTTCTTTGGGTAGGAATTGTAAATATCTGTTACATGTAAGTCTTCCTATTACATATGTTTTAAAAATAATAATGTTATCTATTTAGATAATAAAGGATTATCTAATGAATATCTGGATAGAGAGATGGACAGTATATAAATATAATAACAATAACAATAACAATAACAAAGTTGGAAGGGACCTTGGAGGCCATCTAGTCCAACCCCCTGCTCAGGGAGGAACCCTACACTATTTCGGACACATGGCTGTCCAGTCTCTTCTTAAAAACTTCCAGTGTTGGAGCATTCACCGCTTCTGGAGGCAGGTTGTTCCACTGGTTAATTGTTCTGTCAGGAAGTTTCTCCTTAGTTCTAGGTTGCTTCTCTCCTTGATTAGTTTCCATCCGTTGCTTCTTGTCCTGCCTTCAGGTGCCTTGGAAAATAGCTTGACTCCCTCTTCTTTGTGGCAGCCCCTGAGATATTGGAACACTGCTATCATGTCCCCCCTAGTGCTTCTCTTCATTAAACTAGATAAACCCAATTCCAGCAACCGTTCTTTATATGTTTTAGCCTCCAGTCCCCTGATCATCTTTGTTGCTCTTCTCTGTACTCTTTCTAGAGTCTCAACATCTTTTTTACATTGTGGTGACCAAAACTGGATGCAGTATTCCAAGTGTGGCCTTACCACGGCATTGTAAAGTGGTATTAACACTTCACGTGATCTTGATTCTGTCCCTCTGTTAATGCATCCCAGCGCTGAGTTGGCCTTTAATAAATTTAATTTATTTAATAAATAATGGGACTAAATCAATTTGAGGGGGTGTATTTTTCACATTTTTCCAATGTTTTCAAATTATTAGTCAATATTATAAATACTTTTTTAAAAAAAAAGGAATCACAAGGAATTTAATACGGACAGCCTGTTCCTAATGGAGCAAAGAGCTTGTTTCAACATGCTATGCTGAGTTCAAACCTAAATATTGGAAATATCCCCAGTCTAGTTTCTCTTTCTGCTTTTCAAGTAAGCCAGAAAATATGCGGCTTGAAGGATCATGTATTGTAGCTAAATGCTCTTAGTCATGGAGAGGAGAGGTAAAGAACTTGGATTTGTACGTTTTTTTTCCCCCTCCAGTAGCTAAAGACATGACATAATTTATAAAACACCCACACGATTTATGTTGCCTCTTTGTCTCTTGATAATAGTATACATTTCAACTTTAAAAAGCCAAGCCTGCAGTCAAAAGCCTAGTCTATAAAAAAAATGCTGGGAAAGCCCATATGCCTAAAAAATTCATGATGCTCAGTGGTATCTGGGAGTGAGTGTCCCCCCCCAAAAAAAATATCCAGATTGATCATTTAGGGGCCAAGTGTCTAAGAAAAATACTTCTTCTAAAGCTTAAGAAACTTGTTGACATTAAAGCTATACTGAAAAACTTTACTGTACTTTCTTTTTTCTCTCACAAGGTCCTATTGCCTTTTTTCCATCATCTCCCTTCCCTGTAACTCTTACTTTGTTAAAATTTGTCCTTCAAATTTCTACAGCATTTTTCCAGGGAAAGAGAAATTTATTTTTCTATTTACTGTATGTTCAAATTGCTTTAGATCCCTGCTGTTTTGAGCTTGCCTGTTCTTTGCAGTTTCAGTGGTGCAGCTGCACAGATTTAACTTCCATATTTATGCATTATTATTTAGCCTTTCTTGGTTTCCCACTCCCCAAGCTGAAAAAGCTGCAGGAGAGGAAAATGATTAAGATTTAATTTAGACTTGAGAAGTAGGGAATCTGTGATGAGTGGAAAGATGGGTATTTGCCCATAGTTCTTGGCTACCTTTGTAATAAGTGCCAGAATGATGCATTCCAACCATGAAAGCAATTTTTCTTTTTAAACAGACAAACACTGTCCTATTAATTGAAAGATGAATCCCTTTTGATTTAAGGCAGAAGCACCTAATATATTTTGAGTCGGTGCCACAGTCTAACTTTCCAATTTGCCAGTGATACCATCTGGCTTAGTTTTTGTTTGTTTTTGAGGGTTAAAGTGGTTAAGGGCAGGGATGGGAGCGTTTTCCTTTCAAATAGTTTTCTGCTTCCATTCCATCATTAACAATTCTCAGACCCTCAAATTGAGCAAAATGTACCCCCTGCGAAAGTTGGATAGTTTGCTGCTAGGTGTTTGTGATGCTATCTTGGAATATTTTAGGTGTGGTAGAGGAGATGCTTGTGGGAACATCGGACCACTGCTGTATGTCAAGATTAAGGGGAGACTAAAATACAGTTCAGTTTTACACACAAAGTTGTAGGTTTGATGCTGCTAAAAACAGTAACTCGGTTTTTTAGCATTGATCCCACTCAGCGTCTTATAGTAGAAGAAACATAAGGAATGGAAGTACGAGAAATTGTTGTTCACTTACAATTATCAACTGATACAAGCCAAATATGCAAAGAAGTCTAATTAAATCTGACAAAAGTCTCTTGCAGTACAAATAAGTAAGCGCCTCTTCTGTAGTCCTCTGTGTATGTAGCTATGTGTATATATGTGTATGTGTATATGTTGCATTTGACTTACAAAAAGGTGGTTGACAGCATTTCAGTGAAAAATAAATCCATTACTATTATGAAAAGGGAAGGAGAGTAGCAATTGTAAGGCACAACATCAAATGATTGTTCCAACTTACAACCGCAGTTCTGATAGTTCTTGCTGTTAGGTGAATCCTGCATGGTTGCAGTATCCCTCTGTCACATAATTATTATTTGCAACCTCCTGCCAGCTTCCCATTGCCTTTGAATGTGGGAAGTCACAGTGAAGATTGCAAATGGTGATCCACATTGTTGTAATTACAAGCTAGTCACTGAGCACTCAAATAGTTATCAAGTGACGATGGGGACGCCATAAGAGCTGCAACTACATGGACCCAGTCAACATCATCATAACTTTGTTGAACAAGTAGACATTAAACAAAGACTGTCTGTAATACAGGCCTCTCTCCTTCCCTCCCACTTCACCAAGTTACTAGCTGTTGGTAATTTTCACCTGTATTAGGCACAGTCTCACACTGTATCATTTTAATACTAATTTTCCATGCATCTGCTCTGCAAATAAATATTTGAAGTGATACGTTTCTTTTGGGATGACAGTAAGAAGCAGATTTTACCTAAGTCTACAAGTCTACAACTAAGGTGAATGACATCGGGCAATGCAATATATAACATCTAAGACATTCTACACAGTGTATCTTATTGAGAAAATAAGCAATAACATTATTCAAATGTTTCTTTTTATTATTAGAACTTGCCTGCATGAAGGAAAACGACCACTTGAAGTGACCTGTTTTCCGTAGTGAATTGCAAAAGAATGTGGATTAACCAAATTCCTTGCTACCTACTGATGGTAGCACATTTGTGTATTCTGAACCGGTTTGTCTACAGCCAAGAAAAAGGTTGGTGTGATTTGATGTTACTTTGCTCTTTACCTGCTATCTATTGTGACTTCCCAACAAGTTCTCTGTCTCAACTGGGGAATATATGGCCTCCAAATCTTGCTAAAGTACAACTCTCAGTATCTGTTATCAATGATGGGAATTGTAATCCAACAAAATCTGGAGAACCACAAATTCTCCTCTGTTGAATTAAGCAATATATTGTTTAATGTACATATTAGGCTACCTTGGCAATTTTAAAATGCATGGACTTGAACTCTAGAATTTTCAGCAATGGCCTTATTGGAATTCCAAGGACGTAAAGAGGATACACCTTGTTATTTTGTCAATTTATTTGAAAAGTCTGCTTACTTTTTCACATGGGTTTCTTTGGATAGTTCTTTCAATGCATACTTTCCCAGGCAGCATAATATTATACCGTCAAAGGAACAGAGCATTGATGTAAAGCATGAGGCGATGAAAATGGTGGAAACTGTGCAGAATGCTAAGCCCTTCAATGACTCTTGCTCTGTCTTTTATTTTCTCACACTTGTTGTCCACTTATCACCTCCTAAAATAATAATTTTAAAAGTTTAAAAACAGACACAAATTAAACTAAAGACAGCAATATCTCAGACTGCTGTAGCATTTCTACCACAAATTTCTCTTATAATAGCGAAATATAACCATCATTTTGCCTTTGAGTACAAAACATTACAGAGCTAACAGCATTCACTTTGCAACCCATAACATGTCAAGGTGGTTTTGTTGTTGTTGTTGTTGTTTTGGGAAGGGGAAAAGCTAGAAGGCTATAGCTTCTGGGGACCATTGAGGCACCCATTTTGCTCTTAAAGTGGCTTTCCTGGCCAAAATGGGAATTTGCCCTGCCAACTTTCAAAATATGGCTCTCACAATGTTGTGCAACATCTGGTGAACCCCGCCCCCAAACTGATGGAAATTGCACATTCCCGTTGAGAAGCAAAAAGACTACATGACAATGTTGCAACTACTATAAATATTTTCATTTACTTGGCCTTGAGAAGAGATGTGTTTGTTCTAGCTTAATCTTAAGTCTATTTTAAGTTTTTATTGCAAACTGTCTTGAATGTCTTTAACATGTGGAAAAGTGGAGGTATAAGATAGGGCACATGTAGGTTGACAAGTTGCATAATCAGAAAATTATCCAAATATGCTTAAAGTAAACTCGAAGAGGAATCATGGCATATCTCAGTTTGCTTCCTGAAGCAGTTTGATGTGACTTAATACAGGTAATCCTTAACCTACAACCACAACTGAGCCCAAGATTTCTATTGCTAAGCGAGACATTTATTAAGTGAATTTTGCCCATTTTACGACTTTTCTTGCCATGTCTGTTAAGTGAATCATTGCAGCTGTTGAGTTAGTAACACGACTGTTAAGTGAATCTGGCTTCCTCATTGACTTTGCTTGTTAGAAGGTCACAAAAGGTGATCACATTATGCTGGGACACTGCCAGCCTCATAAGTATGAGTCAGTTGTGAAACATCCAAATTTTAATCACATGACCATGGGGCGACTACAATAGTCATAAGTGTGAAAAATGATCATAAGTGACTTTTTTCAGTGGAGTTGTAACTTTGAATGGTCACTAAATGAACTGTTGTAAGCTGAGGATATTTGTACATGCATGCATTTGTTTACGCAAATATATGTTTCATGAGGATGTTCTGAACACAAGTTTACAGCCGTGCACCACCAGCATGTCTGATCCATTCTGCACAAGGAATATCTGAATCCCATGAGCGAGTGCACACCTGAAACAGTCTGGCACATCATGAATTGATAGGTCTCTGCTGAAACTTTGACCAGGCCCCATTGTCTGCCTCAAAGTCACTGAGCGGAAACTCCATACTCTAATTGCCAGTGACTCATTGTGGTGCCCCGGATTATTTCAAATATCTGGTGATGCGGTCAGGCATAAATTAGAGAAAACATTTTAACAGCTTCCTTTTGAACTTTTATACTGAGATATAACCCATAGTTTGGGGGAAGTCCGTACTAAAAGCAACTGCTTTTACAGACTGCCCTTTGAGAAGTTTGGACTTCGTTATTTTAATAGACAAATTCATTCTCCTATGTCAAGTACTTTAGAATGAGCAAGGTTGCAGCAATCTTTTTCCTTCTCATTCCTAGTTGCCACATAGCACAGAGGGAGGGGGTTTGCCAGGTGTTGTGCTGGACAAAACAGACTTTCTCTCTCTGACTTTCTCTCACGGGAACCAAGGTCATTGGCTGCTCCCAAGACTGCAGGCTGGACATTTCATGAAAAGCCCGCCAACAAGCTGAGTGGGGAAACATAGTTGCTTGCATAGTTTTGGGGGAAGGATTTCTTAACTTTGTATTGGGGAATTGTTATGCATCTCTTCAGACTTGGTTTCACTTTTGAAGTACCGATACGCTGTATCAATAAACATGTTCTTTGAGGAATTTGCAAGCCTCGGAGTTCTGCTTTATTTGTCTCTGTCGATTGGAACCTTGACATTATACATGGGTTCTGATGTAATACCCATCATGCTTTACTGTGATCTTCTTAACTTAGCACCTTCTAGAAAGTGGAACTTAACTTCTAGAATCCCTAACTATTGGCCATACTGTTTAGACCAGAGGTGTCCAATCTTGGCAACTTTAAGGCCTATGGACTTCAACTCTCAGAATTCCCCAGCCAGCCATGCAGAGGAATTGAAGTCTGCAAGTCTTAAAGTTGCCAAGGTTGGACACCCCTGCTTTAGACTCAAAGTCTAACATCTGAATCTCGTAGGTGCAGGTCACTGTTAAGAGAATTATTCTTTATGAGCCTTTGACTTGCAAATGGATCCTCTTCTCCTTTCCCACAGCTTTTCCTTCTATTTTGCTTGTAGCGTATCTCATGGCATTTGTCCAAACCTGTATAAGCTGTTGCTTTATCTATAGCTGCTGCAGGAATCAACAGCTTTTCAGGGATTCAAAGCACATTTTGAAAAACAGAGAGCATATTGTAAGTACTTTTAGCATGCAATGATCATAGTTCAGTACAAGGCAAATTACTGAAGGCAGAATACAGTCATTCTCTGTTACTCATGTGGATAGACAGACTAAGTGGTGATAAGCCCCTTCTTTGCTTTACTTCTTTGCTTTCAGATCTAAAGTTCAGAGATATTCTGCATTCAGAATGCAATAATGATTGAGTTTACAGAGTGTGCTAGCTAGAGTTGGCTGACAAACAGGTAGTCCTCAATTTACAACCATTCATTACAGTGGCAAATTACAGTGCCACTAAAAACAGTATGATCATTTTTCATACTTACGGCCATTGCAACATCCCCATGGTCACATGATCAAAATTCAGGCGCTTGGCAACTGGCATGTATTTACGACATTTGCACTGTCCCAGGGTCACTATGTAACCTTCCCAACCGGCTTCTGACAAGCAAAGTCAATGGGGGAAGCCCAATTCTCTTCATGACCGCATGATTCGCTTAGCAACTGCAGTGATTTGCTTAACAACTGTGTCCAAAAAGATCATGAAATGGGGCAAAACTCACTTAAGAACTTCCTTGCTCAGCAGTGGAAATTTTGGGGCTCCATTGTGGTCGTCGTGGACTTACCTGTACTGTTAATTGAATTCTTGCAAAGAAAAATTCGTAACTGAATTCTTGTCCTGAACTTTTCTTTTAATACCGATTGTTTAGCACCGTAATAAATTGTGCGGTATTGGCTATTTTCTCATTCTTTTTTTTCTCTTTTCTAAACGAAACAAATATAATAGCTTCTCTGGCTCACTCTCTGCTTTGTTTGGCATTTGCATGTTCCTCTGCATTCCAGAGGGCAATGCCTATCCACAGAATGAATTAATACTTTGTGTTGGCTGTAGTCCTCAGGCAATAACATTAGAAAGCTCCCTCCATCCATGCTTTGCATAGTCCAGAGCTCTATTAGTGGATTCTGAGATACACAAAGTAACTTTACTATGCTTTGCAATCTTAATTTTGTTGTGAGTTACACAATGACAATAAAGATATTCTATTCTACTCTCATTTAGAACAGGAAAGGGGAACCTGTCTGGCTGCTAAGCATTCCTGATTTATGTCCACATTTGTTAGAGCTTAAGGGATTGGGAATCTAACAGCACTTGGATTGGAAGGCTGAATGTTAACTCAGGCACTAACTAGCAAGCCAGTTCCTTGAGATACACAAAACATGTATGTTTTTGTAATGTTCTTCCAGCCTTCATATGTAATTTTCATAGGAGAAGTGGTCTGAAATGTCTAATGATTTCTTGATGCATCAAAGTCAGGAGTCTTATTTTATTGAGAAGAAAATTTCATTCAGTGAAATGCCAAATTTTGGACAATTGATCGATTACATTGATTTTTGTTCAGGCTTAACTCTAAGAATTGTGAAGGAAAAATAATGTTATTTTTGGCTTGTTCCTAGAACTGGAAGAGACGTCCACACCCTTCCCCCAAGTGAATTTCCTGCTTGAATACATCTTTTCTTAGCCTAGTTGATTTTGTTTTGCACCAGTTTCTTCTTCATGTTTTAAAAATAAAGTTAAAGGGGATGGAGGAGCATGGAGATTTGCAAAAAAAAAAAAAAAGCAATCTACTGTCACATGGGGGCCAGTGCTTAGCACATTATGTGCTCCTATTCTACATTTTAAAAGGAAAGTTTCCTTTGAGTTGAACTTGAGTTCAGATATTTTGTGAAATATTTCTTTGGCTGTCTGACAACAATATGGAAATGGTTTGTTATTGCTTATTGCTACTGAGTCCTTTATGCTTTGGTTTTCTTGATCTTCCAACTGTAACCTGAGTTACAGGCTGTGGAATTGTGGTACATTATCTCCTATAAACTCAACCATACATTGATGTTCACTGCTTGATAGCAGAAACAAGTACTGATGTTGGTGACTCAAAAGGGCAGGGAGACAATGAAAAACTCAACCACCTCTAACCAGAGAACCATATATACTGCTCAAAAAAAATAAAGGGAACATTTTAACATGGAACTGAAGGAGTTTGCGTTCCCTTTATTTTTGTGAGCAGTATACTTTTAAAAGTAATTTTCAATGCTACATGGAATGATGAGAAATGAAATTCACATAGTACCCAAGCTGGAGCATAGGAATTTAAAATAGGTAGTCCTTGACTTACTACTGATCACAGTTCAAAGTTGTGATGGAAGCACAAAAAGGTACTTATGACCCAAATTTGAAATTCTGGTCCCCCTCCTCATGGTCACATGATGACATTTTGGGTGCTCAGCAACTTGCCCTCCTTTACAGCTGTTTGCAGTGTCCTGCAGTCATGAGACCACAATTTATTATGGTGTTTTTTTTTCAAAAAAACCCCAAAACAACCCCAGGGTTTTATTTCCAGTTTCTAGCAAAATATGCCCATTGTGGACAATGGATTCACTTAGCAACCCACAGGGTTCACTTAATAATCATGCCATTTGCTTTATGACAACTGTAAAAAAAGTTGCAAAATCAGATCGGTCATGTGATGACCCTCTTAACAACTGGCCCAACTTATGACTTAAGTTGTGGCTTAATTATAGTCGAAAATTGAGGACTACCTGTATGATTCTTTGGAACAGTGAAGGGCTTCCATATACCATTTGGTTTCCTGCTGAGAGGACCCAGGTGGAAAGATGAATCCCAGATCTATTTTCCAAATAACTTATATTTTCAAACCCAGAATCAGGGAATTGTCCAGTTCTAACAAGCGACCATCTTTGTAATGATGCAGAAATGTTTAAGAATAAATTAATTTGCAAGATTTATATGGCCACCAAATTCAACCAACTGAGTCAAATATAAATACAAGAGTCAAATATAAATGCAAATCCCAATGCCCCAAATGAAAAGAAACACAATACTTTAAAAATCAACTAAAACCAGAAAATGGTACTGGATTGAAACTAATAATTTAGACTCCGTTCATCTGGAACCAAAGACCTGAGGAAAAAACAGCCATGTCTTAACTGCCTTTCTACTTGCCTTTATTAAAATGAAATGTGCTGGACTGTCTGACATTCAGAGAGTTCATATAAAGTTGATTATAAAATACTTCCTGTGTTTTACTTTTATATAACTCTGTGTAGTTTATGGTTCAGTGGTTTGTGGCTTGTGGCTTGTGCTGCAGCAAGATCACCAACCAGAGAGTTTGCTTTTTAGTGATAACATGTTTTGATTCTTCTGTTTTTATTTGTATGGGATTTTTTTATATTGCTTAGACTGTTGTATCTTCTTTGCAACTAATTTCACGATAGGCTTTCCACCTGTGAACCTATTCCCCCCTTTCTCCTAAGAGGTCATGGCTACTTACCCGAGGATCTCTCTTCATTTTATCCTTACACCAACTCTGTGGTATGGGTTGAACTGAGTTACCCTTGAGTTTGCATGGCTGAAAATAGGCTTGAATTTGAGTCTCCCTGTCCTAAGCCAATCAGTATACCACACTGGCTCTCAGTAGTTTGGCAGCTGTTTGCATTCTTGTTTTTAATAATTTCATTAAATGGTGTAGCTGTTAGGTGTTGAATTAAACCCATGTTAAAGTGTTTGACTAGGCCTCAGTCCAGATTCTCAGTTGATCCTAAGGTACTCTGGGTACTATTGGCCAAATTGGTAAATGTACCTCAACCTACCTCATATGTGTATTTCAAAAACTGTATTATTCCACCTTGATCTGCTGGGGAAAAGACAGAATATACATGCAGTAAATAAAGAAAATGATTTTATCAGCAGAAGTCAATAGGATAGTATGGAACTGTTAGCATGGTAACATCTACCTGTATTGCTGAATTTATGAAGGAATCCTGTTTAACTCACAATGCAACCATCCTAAGAGAAATCTGGTTTGCATTTAATGAAAAACTCTTGAGCATTCAGCTATGTGCTTCACGTCAATCCAGTAGGGTATTTTTTTAGGAAACATAAAATAAAATAAAATCTGTTGTTAATTTTGAGCGTTTTTTTCCCCTTCCTGGTATTTTTCCTATAAGTTCGGGGTCCGCTTATTTTTTCAGGTAAATCCAAAGTTTACCTATTGGATGCAATAGGAATTGACCAATCAGTCCTAAGCCTTACATCATGGCTTGAGAGAAAGAGAGTGTGACTGGCCCAAAATCACCTTTGATGCCAAGGCAGGACTAGAATTTACAGTTCCCTGGTTTCTAGCCAGGTAACTTAACCACTAGATCAAACTGACTCTCTATCAATGCTGAGGTGCTCATTCTGTTTTAAAGTATCAAGGTTAATGTTCTAAAAACCTTATTAATTTACAGTCTGAAAATGAATCTTTTTTTAACTGTCATGATTCCAGACACAAAATAATACATAAGGAGTTTTATATTAGCTTGCTTATTATGGCTTCCTTCAAACTGGCTTGAGAAAATAAATGTTGAGGGCAATATTTTGCATTAAAGATTACTTGATCCATTTCAGAGAATTACATCTCTGAAAGTTCAATAGAAGATAGTATCTGTGGCTCAGGATTCATTGAAGGACTTCACATCATTGAGGGTTCTCTGGGAAAGGGAATTATTATTAATCCATTGTAAAATATGTTTGAAATATGAGATAGTTTGATTAGTTGAACCATTCTATAGTTCCAAATATATCCACCAGGCATTTATTTGATTGATTGATTGATTTTTATTCTCCCTTTCTTATTTTTATAAACAACTCAAGGTGGCAAACATAATAATGCTCTTTCCTTCTTCTATTTCCCCCACAATAACCACCTTGTAAAGTGAGTTGAGCTGAAAAGAGTGACTGGCCCAAGACCACCCAGTTGGCTTTCATGCCAAAGCTAGAACTAGAACTCGGTCTCCTGGTTTTTAGCTTGCTATCTTAAACCCTGGACTATCTTTTGAGTTTTCATAGTTTTTGGAGCATAGATTTTTGAAGTGGAGGTTCATTAACATTTTTATTTTAGTTCCAGATTCTTCACATTTGGCTCAGAACCTGACATGTATAACACACAATCTTGACAATGTTGTCTGCACTTGGACTACGGCTGCCGAAGATGATTCAAAAGTTATTTATGAATTCTGTTACAATGTCAGGTAAAAATATTGATAGCTTGTACAAAATCTTTTTCATAATTTTATATTGTGATGTATCGAGAGTTGGTTTAAGAAAGTGCTCTTTAGAGACAGAGCACCAATGAAGTCTATAGAACTAAAGTTTGCCTTGGCCTTGTAAATAAACTCAATTTATTCATGTTTGGCCTCTGCCAATGGTCACTACAAATATGTCTCAAGTATGATAGTGAAGTAGAAAGGACCGCATTATTCAGATTGTATCACCACAGGTATTTTCATTCACAACAACACTGACAAATTGTCTTCCTCAAATGAATCAGAAAACAAAGAAGGGATTTTTTTTAGTTAAATTTTAGTTGCATTTCAGATTTAAACTATCTTCAAGGACCACACTACAGTATAGTTCTAATGCATGTAGTTAATCCAGAAATAACTAATGCATGGTTTATTGAAGGAAGTCTCCAGGAATGAAGGAGATGATATAAGTAAACTTCCCATACTCTAGCTTGCTCCAGTTGTCTAGACCAGTGGTTCTTTACCTGGGCAATATTGCCCTCCAGGGGGCGATTTCATTTTTCAGGGGGGCAATGGAACGAAAAGTGGTGAAGCAGGGCGAAGGAACGAAAAGGGGGCAATATGGGGGCGATGGAGTGAGAAGTTTTGGGGACACTTTTGAGACTTTTTCGTACAGTGAATCGCTGTATATCTGTCGTACAAAAACATCAAATCGCTCGCTATTAGTGGATTGAATTGTGTTTTCGAATGTTCCTCCAGCTAGCTTCAGTACAGAATGCCGTATATATGTGAATATGCATCACTTATCTTCATGCACGTTGCGCAGCAGCCTCTACCCATACAGTGGTGCGCCATTGGCCAGAATATGGGAGATATGGGAAAAAGACTGGAAATAAATTATTTGCATCGATATGTCCTGATGACCATTTTAAAGAAAACAAAAAAAGTGTTTGCATAAATCGAAGAATTATTTCCTATTTTGTGATTGAGAGGTTATGTTGGGGGAGGGGGGCGATGACAACTTCCTCATTGTCTCAAGGGGGCGATTCATTCAAAAAGGTTAAGAACCACTGGTCTAGACTTCCCAAATTCCCTAAAGCTATCTTGGATGAGAGTTGGTCCAACACAATTAAAAACCTTCAATTTTGGGAAGATGGTGTAGAAAATGCAATAGATTAAGTTGGAAATAACGTGACTTAGAAATTTAGAACTAATGCCAACTTGAGGAGGTTCTTAAAGAGATGGCTCTACAAACAAAAGAGTGTTTTTGGTACATTGTTTGCTTGCCATTTTAAGAATCAAATCAGCTTCATCTTTGCCTTTTTAAAAACTGTATTGTATCAGCCTTTATTCAAGCAAAATAATTCACATTACAGTTCAGGACTTCCAGGTTTTTTAAATAAGAATTTTGAGGGAAATGAAAGGAATGATATGAAAGGATGTATGGGAAAAATACCATACTAGAAATCAAATCCTGGCAAATCCTTGGGAGTTTCATGGAACATCCCAAGCATAGGGAGCTGACTAACTATCTTATATTTTCCTGTTGTCAATAAATACAAAAGAGAGACTTAGTAATAATTTCTGAGATCTAAAGAAACCATCATTAAAAAAAAATATCCATACCCTGGCTTCTGTAAAACCATAGCAAGATCTTTGTGTCAACCACAAAGAATGAGGATTCAGAGGTAAATGGTGTCCTGCTTTTTCCAAGAATCCTGTGATAGGCATCACCAGACTAAATATTCTTCATATTCTTCCAAGGGACTGTGATCGGTCTGAATACTTCTGTCAAAGGGCATTTGACATAACACATAAAACATTTTGTTCTGTGAAAAGTTTCTCAATATGTAACAGGAAGTTGCTATGCAGCAAGCATTGTTACATTCTTTAATTAAAATACTTGGTACCTGGAAAATTCCATTGTACATCTCTGGTCAAATGCGATGATGAAGAAATGTTATCACAGCCACTCAATAAGATATAAACCCATGGCTAGTCTATGCTTGTCAAAATTTGCCCAAAGTTCTTTTTTTCTGCCAATATCCCAAATATTTGTCTATTATTTGGTATTGAACCACTATAAGTCCTCAAAAGGTTTCCTTTGGTTTTGCTATTAAGCAGTTTTCAGCAGGAGATGAAAACTTGCTTCTAATTTGGCAGATTTGAGGGTAAGACAACATGTTACTTTTCCCAAAGAGCATGAATCACGAATCACTTTTTCTCTTTTTCTTTCAATTGTGGCTTTTTTCTTAGGCAAATTATTAGAATTATAACCAAGATTGGGCTTGTCACATTTTTGTTTAAGTAGGAAGAAAAAAAATAAAGTAACTCATTCACCCTATTTTTTTTTTTTTAAAAAAAAACAGTTGTTGGAAAGAATTATGAAGCAGTATATAAGCCTAAGTACTGTTGCTATTGCTATTTTGTCCAGAATTTCCATTTTTGACACCATACTTAATGGTGGTTCAGTTTTATTTTTAGAGTTGTATCGCAAACTATTGTCAAGCAAGAGCAATCAAACCTACACTGTAAAGTTCAAACTAGTTATTGTTTTATGCCTATTTCATAGGAATCTTCCCAGTCTGGCCTGGGAAAAACTAAATCAGGTTCAAAGGGTACGGGGAAGTTAAGACTGTGTCCTCTTGTGTTTATGTAATAAATTCAAGCTAATTCTTCATTTGATTCTTCTTCTTGACTGGGATGGTTGCTCTTAACAACCATCTTGAAAGGAATGGGGGAAAATCTTGTTTGGTTCTTGGTTTTGGAATAAATTCATTAAGTCTGCACTTTCTTAATCTGTACATGAGCTGATATGTAAGTGCTCACTTTTCTAGGATCTTCAGAAAACATCTAAAATATGTATTTAAAAAAAATCCCTGAAGAGATAGCAATAGCAATAGCACTTAGACTTATATACTGTTTCAACAGTGCTTTACAGCCCTCTGTAAGCGATTTACAGACTCAGCATATTGCCCCTAACAATCCGGGTCCTCATTTTATCAACCTTGGAAGGATGGAAGGCTGAGTCAATCTTGAGCCGGTGATATTTGAACTGCTGAACTGCTGGCAATTGGTAGTCAGCAGAATTAGCTTGCAATGCTGCATTCTAACCACAGCACGACCATGGCATAATTAACTTTTTAACTGAACTTTTTTTTAAATTTTTTTTTTGAGTATTATAGAAATGGATCCAGATATTTAAACGTAGGGTGAAAGTTGTAGTTTGGCTTAGGTTTTCATTTTTTTCTACTCTAGATTGCTTTTATACTTTATTAAATACACAATGCACTTGGAGTAATTTAATAGCTAGTGAATCTTTTGCATGTAAAATAAGGTGGGGTTTTTTTTTTGTAACTTTGGCCTTCTTGCTATACATGTGTTTCAGGAGCACCAAAATAGAAAAAATGTCCTGCTTCTCTGGAGTGTTTTTTAGCCTATAGTTAGAGAATACACTGTTTAATTCAATTTATTATTGAATTTGACCTTAGATAGAGATTTTAATTTTCAACCAAGATATTGTGAATTAGTCTGACTTTTGTGATAGTTGTTCTCCTATAATTTAAAATGATTTCCAATAGCTAAGCTGAATTTTCTCTTTTGCAGTTTTTCTGATCCACAATGTTCATTAACCAAGGAAAAAAAGGCAACATTTGCATTAATTATCTTTGAACATATACAGATTGAGATAACCACCCTCAATTTAACTAAGGGAAAAAAGAATGATCCCATAGCTGAAAACACATTTCTGCTTTCTGAAAAAGACATTTGTAAGTATACTTTTTCTATATTCAAAACTAGAATGTTTGGAATTTAATGGCTGAGTTTGGAATAATGCTAAGAATCAGCCCAGGTGGGCTTCTGGCTTACATTAAACTTCTTATGCTTTTATTTTAATGCAGTCTAAAATAAAGCATTACCCGAATTCTCCAAGTATTTCCTTTTCTAGATCAAAGTATGTTTTATGCAATCCATAATGTGCAGCTTGGTTTGAAGTTTATAATAAATACAGAGAAAATGTACTCGTTCAATTTGGGATTATTGTGTTTAGACTAGGAACTCTTAAACTTCTATTACACCAATTCATCTATGTTTTTTCTCCTGCTGCACATTAATAATAATAAAAAAGCATTTCCAGTGAAGTGAGTTGCTTTGTTAAAAACTTTGATGTGAAGTAATCTAGAGATAAAATAGTTGGAAAGACAAAGTAAGGACCTTCTAATTTGGGGGTCCAGATCCTGCTTGAGATTTCCTGTGCTTTCTCTGCTGATGATCAGGGCAGCTGAATATTAGATTAACATGTTGTGACTGCTTTATGCTATCTCCAGAGATTCAAGACACTAAGTGAGATTTCTTTTGTTCAATAACAAAATATCTATTTCTGATCATCTGGTTCTTTCTGTCTGTTATATACTGTAGAATGACAATTAAGGTGATGCATGAACAAAATTATTTCAGATAATTTATATATATAACATAGTATGTTATATGATTTCTGTGTGTACTGATATTTCTCAGAATATATATATCCTGTTTTCAAGCTTTGGAAGCTTTGATTTTTGGTATCAATTTTGTTTGTTTTTCCTGTTTATAAAATGGAAAGGGAGTTTTCTCCATTTTAAGAATGCAGTGGTAGAGGATAGATTAGAGATGATGTTCTAGTTTAGAATTTTGCCAAGCAATAATTTCCCACAGTATTTCATAATAATTTGGCTGTTTATGACTTAGGAAACCTTCCAGTTTTATCAAAATGTAAAAACTGTCCTGCAGTTTAAATGGTAAGATTTGATGTACAGTTTTTTTCAAGAGAGCATGACTCTTGAATTCAAATGTTCACTGTGAAGCCCTGACTACAGCTGTGATTTTTGAGTGCAATCTAATTAAAGTTAAAAATAAAAGTACATATATAATTGTGTCAAAATATTATTTTGTTTTCTTTTTAGCTTGTGGTTAGAGAATACACTGTTACATTCAATTTCCAGTGAAATCTTACAAATTTGCCTGTGATGAAATAAAGTACTATAAAAGAAAATATGGTACAATAGTTATTTTCACTGGAGTTTGAAAAATTCCTTGCTGTAGGAGAAAGCAGATTAGTGACTACATCAGGAGGGAAGAGATCTCTGTTTAGAACACTTATTGACATCCAGTATTTCTGAGTCCAATTAACCTTTTTTCTTCCACCCAGTACTTGTTCCTCCGATGCCTCATATTCATAGACTGACTCCAGATTTTTTAGCTGACACGTTGATTCTGGAATGGTATGATGGTGGATCAGTCTTTCAATACAAAATTGATTGTACTTGGCAAATTCAGATTCTGCGTAAAGATCCAATGGAGGAAATAGCACTAGTAAGTTGTCTCTCTTTACACCTTTCTATTTGTGTATGTATGTGTTTGTGTAATCTGATGGTCTGTAGTGATAGAGAATGATTGATCCCATTCTCAGGTGACAGTTGTAATCAAAGACACTGAATGGCAGCATCTTGAGCCAATCATTACAATCATCAATAAAAGCAAGTTTAATCATTAGAGAGAGAGAAGCTGATGATAAAAAGCGAAGAGTTAAGGAGGAAATTGCAAGGCAATTACTGTGATCCACTATAAGCCTGCGAACCAATGAAATGGAATTAGAGCAACTTTGGAATGTTGGAAAATTATAGTGAGACACATGGCACAATGATTGCCTTCCCCAGAGTCCTGGTGATGACTTCTGCCATCATCAAGCAGAAGTTTTCATCATGCTGCTGTGGGATATGAAAATTATAATCCAGCATGTTTGCATGTCAGCAGGTTGGGCTAAAGTGTTTGAATGGGAGATCCTGTTTAACTAGGAAATTCACTGAATTCACATATATGGTAAGACATAGCCGGTTTTAGATTTAAAGCAATAGATGAAACAGTCGGTATTCTTTATTAACTGCTTAACTATGTTACTCTGGGTTGTTATACAACTCACAGGAAAACAAGCCATAACTTAGCATGATGTGTCATAGTACAGAACCTCTTTAAAGAGTCTTCCTACCTCTTTGCTTAAATTGTATCCCAAAAACCTGCAAGAATAAAAAGGATGTAGGAAAATGTTTGTATATGATAGCCATCTTAAAATGAGGGGTTCAGCAATGAGGGTGGGGTATTTTTTTAAAAAAGTGTTTAATTTTATTTACAAATTACAAGAAAAAATGACAAAAATTAAGTACACTAACCTCTCCAGATAATTAACCCCCACCCCCAAATTAAACTTAAAACAACAACACATAAACCCTACCAAAAAGAAAGAAAGGATTGGGGGGAAATCGTCAAACTAAAAGACAGAGAAAAGAGAAATAATTTCTTATGTATTATACTTATCAATAGTCACTGCTTTACTAAGAATTATTATATCCTACCATAAAATGATTAGTACAAAATATTATTGTAAAACATCACAAAATCTCTGCATAATAATACGTATTTCTTCATCCTTTGAATAGCAGAAAATGCTACCTTTTCCAAAACAGATGGATCACATATTTCTAAAATCTGCCCCTTAATATCTGGAATAATATCAATAATATCAATATGATATTCCAATTCAACATGGTTCTTTTAATCCCCCTCCGTGATCAATACAATTAAGGGTGGGGAAAGGATGCGGAAATCTGCATGAGTACAATGAGTGTTAATATAGTCTTCTGTTTGCCTAAATTCTGTTCTTGCACATCAGCAGTGCAATGATTAGCTTGTGTCTTGTGTTTTTTAGGAGACATATAACACATCAGTTGGCAGCAAAGATACTCTCCTTCGTTGGGAATGGACATCAGATCTGCCTTTTAATTGCACCACTCACTACATTAGGATTCGCTGTTTTCTTAATGAGAAAAATTTTGATGGAAAGAAGATGTGGAGTGAATGGAGTCCACTTGCAAACATTCCAGGTAATATGATGCAGTTGAGCCCAACTTTTGGAATAAGAAGAGTCTTATCAAATGTGTACCTACTGATGAATGATTAGCTGACTCATTCTCTTCTTACCACTCAGTACCAAGAGTTTCTGTGCATGTGTTGCTGTTTTCTAAATAGGTGAAAGACTGAATTTTAACCATCCATCTAGCAATCTTTGCTATTGCTAGAAATAGAAAAATATGGGCGAACTATGGAAGTTTTGGTTTACTAAAACGTAACGGTGCTTCCAGACCAATTTAGATTCTAATTCTATTTTAATTTTTACTAGAAGGTACTGATAGCATGGAATATACTGTAACTAGGTGTGCATAGTATGTTATACAGATAGTCCTCAACTTAGGATTGTAATAGAGTCTGCTCATTATAGTAAGTCAGGATGGTCATAAAATGGTTCATCACATAAGTGACCCAGTTTTACAATCTGCAGCGTATGCTGTATTTTCTGTCCTGGTGGGTTGGGTGGGTGTAATAGGGGAAAGGTGGTCTTCAAATAACAGTAGTTGAATTCAAATCTGCACTATTTGAAGCATTTCTATGGAAAGTAGGGTTATTGGTTCCAGCTCAGCGGAAGTAGGCATTGAAAAAAAATGAAACATTAATTTTTATATGTACATTAATGAAATATTATAGTAAAGAATAAAAAGAATAGACTTATAATTTAAGTTTATGATTACCAAAGTCACAGAATAGTTATAGAAAGCAAAATAAAAACCAGAAACCCCTATGTAGGTTTTTCTGGCATTCCCATCTTGTCATATTTTAGTGTTACAATGGCCATGTTGTCAATTACATCAAATTTTTACTGCAATGTAATAATGAACCTCTTCTTTTTAAAACTTATACTCTGAGAGAATCTTGCTCTAACTGAATTTTGTTTCATATGAAGTAGAATCAGATAAATAGTATCAATTTACAATTCACATTAAATATTGCATTATTCAAACTTGCACTAGTTGCAGGCTACCTGTAGAAAAACTATTTTTATTATTATTGCTCTTATTAGCTTGAAAAGAAGGAGACTAAGAGGAAAAATATAACAGGCATGATATAGATAACAAGGACAGGGAAATGCTTTTCCTACTCCTCTCACAATGTAGAAGTTGAAAAATTCCATTGAAACTGAATGGAAGAGATTCATGTGTCACTCTGAACATCACCCATCCACTGTTGAGTCAATATAAACCTCGCCCCATTTCTGCTCACCAATGGTTGGATGATTCTGGAAGAAGCTATAAATCACTGGTGGAGATGGGACACCTCAGGACTGACAAAAGAAAATGCTTTTTGATACAACCTGCAGTTAAATTGTGAAATTCAGTCCTAGCAAGTATGGTAAGGGATAGAATCAAGATCACATCAAGTGTTAGTACCACTTTGTAATGCCTTGGAATATTGCATACAGTTTGGGTCACCATGATATAAAAAACATGTTGAGACTCTAGAGAGAGTGCAGAGAAGAGAAATAAAAATTATAAGGGGACTGGAGGCTAAAACATATGAAGAACGGTTGCAGGAATTGGACATGTGTAGTTTCATGAAAAGAAGGAGTAGGAGTGACATGATAGCAGTGTTCCAATATCTCAGGGGTTGCCACAAAGAAGGTTGGGGGGATCTATTCTCCAAAGCACCTGAAGACAGGACAAGAAGCAACGGATGGAAATTAACCAAGGAGAGAACCAACCTAGAACTAAGGAGAAATTTCCTGACAGTTAGAACAATTAACGACTTGACTCCAACACTGGAGGTTTTTAAGAAGAGATTAGACAACCATTTGTCTGAAATGGTTTAGGGTTTCCTGCTTGAGCAGGGGATTGGACTAGAAGATCTCCAGGGTCCCTTCCAATTCTGTTATTCTATTATTGTATTGTTATGTTATGGCAAGTAATTTGGATATTTGGGGAAAAGAACTGGGGCAGCTTTATGGTGGATCAGCAATCAAAGCTACTAATATCAACGGCTGTTTATGACATCCTGAATCACAAGCAGCAGATTATAGATAGTGGTTTCAACAGTAGAAGGGACTATTGGTTGATCAATTTCCCAAATGCATCCAGTGACAACTATGCACATAGGAGATGGGACTCTATGTTTAGTTTTCTTCCTAAATGTCCATTTAACATAGTGCCCAAACAACAAACCACAGACCTCTTAGAAACACTGTTGCTGAAGTAGAAAATATGTGACCCTCAACTTATTGCTAAGGTTTTCCAGTGGCCCCAAAAGTATGGCTAATATAGGTATTCCTTGACTTATGACCAGTCACTTAACAACCATTCAAAATTACAATGACCTATTTACCAACCATTTTCAGAGTCACAATGGCCATGCACACAGACACACATCCATAGACATGTGATCGTATTTTGGGTGTTTGATAGCCAGTTCATCCTTCTAGCCATTTGCAACATCCCACGGTGATATGACCATGATTTGTGTCATTTATTTTTTGCCAGTTTCTGAAGTTTACTTCTAGTTTCTGGCAAAAAGAAAAAATGCCCATTGGAAAAAAATAGATTCACTTAGCAACTGCCACATTCATTTAACAACCACTGTGTTCACTTAATGACCATTTAAAAATGGTCATAACTTTGAATCTGATCCTATGATGCCTCAACTTATGACCACAACAACTTACCAGCATAATTTTGGGCTTGATTATGGTCACAAATTGAGGACTACTGTAGTGAAGCGTGTTAAAGGTTGAAGTACACCGGAGTGCCAATAATTTGCCTTCTTTTGGTAATATAGCCATATGTCTGTGTGATTCTGTTTAGGTTGAAAGATGAGCACTGTTTTCCTATAACACCTGGAGACTCCTTTGGGTGTTTATAAGATGTATTCATAGCAGATGATACAATCAGTAGCTGTTTTTGTTGGCTTATTGAGTTGCTGAGCCTGGATCCTGGTATGGCACCTATGGGTTCCCTTGGTGCCCATCAATTCAGTGCTCCCTCTGATTTCATTTTGGGCTGCTGTTGTTGTTTTAGATTTTAATTTAAAGATAGGGAGGGAGATGGGGGGGTATAAATGGAGAGGGGCCAGACTGGGTTCTAATGGCGCCCACACTTACCTAGAGACATTTCCAGAAGACAAAAATGATAGCGACGTGCCAACCAGTGAAGTATCCCCATCTGCCAGAAACAATTGAACTGTAAGCTGAAGTGATAGAGAGCAATGTGAGAGGTTGAAGGGAATGATGGATGTAATTTTATGTGTTCATCTTCTGGCATTTTGTGAGACAGCTCATCACACGTTCTCAAAATATGTATCTGGGAGACAAGAAAGTTGGAAATATTTAGAGTAAAGAATATAAAAGAATAACAGAGTTGGAAAGGACCTTGGAAGGTCCATTCCAACTCTGTTATTCTTTTATATTCTTTACTCTAAATATTTCCAACTTTCTAGTCCAACCCTGCTCAAGCAGGAAACCCTATATCATTTCAGACAAATGGTTGTCCAATCTCTCCTTAAAAACCTCCAGTGTTAGGGCACCCAAAACCTTTGGAGGTATGTTGTTCCACTGATTAATTGTTCTCACTGACAGAAAATTTCTCGTTCATTTCTAGGTTGGAGAAATAAATTTTGTGAGTTTAGCTTGTTTCACATCCAGATTCGGTGGCTCTATTTTTCTAAAGACTTGAGTTTTTTCAGGACAAGTAATTTTAGTTAATATTGTTAGTTTAAGGGTATCTTCTCAAAGGCACCTGTGTTCTGCTGTGCTTCCCATTCATTGTGATGGAGATTATAGCTCAGTGGCTATAATTCTCCAGAGGTTGAGCCTCTAAATGGATTGTTATGTGCAGCTGTTCTGCTGGATAATCAATGTTGCCAATTCTTTCTGTTGCAGGAAAGGACAGAGGCAATTTCACAAAAATGTACCCTTTAGATAAAGTGGTGGTAGGAGGTTCCAACGTGACTTTCTGCTGTATGTATGAAGCTGAAGATACTTTCATCACTATTAAATATTGGAATTTGTGCGACACTCTGAACTGTAAGGCTGCCCCTCTCACCAAATGGAGCAAGTCATTCTTTGTGCAAAATGTCACTGCTGCCGCTAATTCTGGATTTAATGCCTGGTGTAAATTACAAAAGGGAGGAACAGGCAAGTTCTTCGTTACTGGAACGGTTTTATTTGTGGGCTGTAAGTATTCTTTTTTTCCCCTTATATTTTATGGTTTACATATTCTGTGTGGATCCATGTGTGGGTAAACAATTTGGGTGGATGACAAAGATAAAAAAGTTGGTGAAAATAATAAAAGGAGAAATGAAATAAAATGAAATAAAATGTGTAAAAGCTGCTTTCTACATATGGTCTTACTGTCAAGAGCAGGAAACTAAGAGTCCGGGCAGTTCAATGAATATATAGGTTTGTTGTATGCTAAAGCTCTATATAAGAATTTTAACTATTAAAAGGCAAAGCAAATAGGTGGTGGATAAGAATCAACAAAATTCAAGACTGTCTGAACTTAGAACACTTATGGGTGCGAAGGGACCTGAGAATGATGATGTGTTTGACTCCTCCCTCGGGCTCAACCTGGTCATCTCCTACACTTACATTTCAAAACGCAACTCTCAAATGATTTGGAAAAATGAAAGTTTTATTATTGAAAACAGAGCAGTGCATACTATCCTAGCATGGAACTCTACAGTGAAGAAGACTTTCTACATTTAGCAAAGGCTTGAAAGAGCCTGAGTGAAGATGATCAAATTATTTCAGCACGTGTATAAGGAGAAAATATTCCTTTAAATATTTTGGCCCTGAACTGCACAGTATGTAGAATTAAATGAATCCATTCAGAAATATTTGGCATGCCAGCATTACCTATCCAAACTCATTCACTCTCCATCCCAGTGGCTTATTTTGATTTGATCTTGATTTGCCTCTGAAATTCAAGAAAAGCTAATATTATTGATACTTCTTGATACCCTTTTTGTATTCCCTTCCTCCAAGAAAATATATTTTCAAGAAAGGCACAAGGGCTTGCGCAAATGGAGTTTCGCATGCTTGCCTGCCGCTTGCCCGCTGCTTGCATGGCCCGGTTCCCAATGGGCCATGGCCTGGGGGTTGCGGATCCCTGTTGTAATGCTTCAGTGTTGCAGCTGAAAATTGGTTTCACCATCATTCCTATTATACTTGACTTAAGACTACCATGTTTCCCCGAAGTAAGTCCCTGCCCAGAATAAGCCCCAGCTTGATTTTCAGGGGTGGGCCTAATATAAGCTTGCCTGAAACTAAGCCCTAGTTTTGGGTGAGGTGCATGCCTAAAGATCAAGCTAGGGCAGGGGTAGGGGTGTGAAGCTGCCCCACATGCCCCACACCCACTTACCTTACTGGTAGGACCACCACAGCCAGGTCTCGCATGGCCCAACACTTGTCAAGCCGTGTGGCTTGTCATGCCAGTGCTGCTGCTCGTGGCAGGAGGTTGCACAGCGCTTCAGGCCATTTCTGCTGCTCGCAGCAGGACGCTCACCGCATGGCACTTCAGGGCATTTCCACTGCTCATGGCAGGATGCAGCATGGTGCTTTGCGCCATTGCTGCCGCTCATGGCAAGAAGCTGCATGGCACTTCGGGCCACTTCCACTGCAGCATTCGGCCAGAGCAGTGGAAATGGCCTGAAGCACCATGCAGCTTCTTGCCACGAGCAGCAGCAATGGTGCGGTGCCATGCAGCATCCTGCCACAAGCAGCGGAAATGGCCCCAAAAGCCACGTGGCATCCTGCTGCAAGCAACAGCAATGGCATGAAATGCCATGCGGCATCCTGCCGTGAGCAGTGGAAACAGCCCAAAGAGCCACGCAGTGTCCAGTCACAAGCGGCCGCTGAAGAAGTCAAGCAGTGGCACGACAGGTTTCGGGGTGTGGGAGGCCTGGCTTTGGTGGTCCTAATGTAAGACACCCTCCCCAAAATAAGACCTAGTGCCTCTTTTGGAGGCAAAAAAAAAATATAAGACCAGGGAAACACGGTATTAGTTTCACAATGGTTCTAAATTATGACAGCACTGAAAAAAGTGACTTTATGACCTATCCTCTAAATTATAACAATTGCATCACCACCCCAATCTTGTGAGCACAATTTGGGCACTTAGTAATCAGCTTGCATTTGCAATGGTTGCAGTATCCTGCAGTCATGTGATTGCAATTTATGACTTCCCAGCTGGCTTCTAACAAAATCAATGGTGGAAGTCGAATTTGGTTAACCATGGAAAAAATGGTTGTAAAATTGGATCCAGTCACCTGATTACTTGTTTAACAACTCTGTTGCTTAGCAAATGAAATTCCAGTCCCAACTGTGATCACAAGTTGTGGATTATCTGTACTGTAGGTACTGTTGACCAAGATAAATGGTAGCATGGGTTCTTTGGTCTACAGACTGAACTGGAAATGGTCCAAATAATTTCTGTGAAACTGCCACCCTTCCTTAGATATTTTGTTTGCTTTTTTATTCGAACCCTGAATGTCTGCATAGGGACACTAATGTATGCTATTAGCTGAACTTCTTCCTAAGCTTTAAAGCCTATGCTTGATTGGAATAAATCCAGAGTAGCTTTTCTTCCTAACCCTCCATGTTTGTTGAGACTAAACTTACCAGAATTTCAATTACCAAACTGTAATAGATATACCCATGCGTATATATACACACATATAAATATTAATCACTGTCCATTTTGAATACATAGCGGAAAGAGGAAACTTGAGAGTTTACAAGGTTGATGCTGCTTGGAACAAAACTGTGACCAAATCTGGATGTTCTACAGAACATACAGAATAACCCTTTTATATTCATTTCCTTATTGTGTTATTGTTGAGATGAGACAAAGGTTCAACTGATATGTACATTTAGGTAACACTTCTTCTTCTTTCTTCTTTGCTATTATAGATCCTCCGGATGTTCCACAAAATTTAACCTGTGAAACACAGAATTTTAAGGAAATAACATGCCACTGGCAGGAGGGAAAGCCCACTTTATTAGTTGGTGCAAGAAAAACCAAACATGCCTTATTTGAAGGGTTTGTTTTCATGTACTTTTTTTTTAAAAGCAGGAGAATATATATATTAAACTATAAAAATGTGACATATTTGGTATAAACATTCTGATTATTCAGATAAACTTGTCATTTATTTATATGTATGTTTAGATTGTAGGTTCACCCAATAGGATAAGTCTGTGGAGAGCTAATTATAAATGACCATATATCTTATGTCTTCCTTTTGGTTTTCTAGGGCCATCAAAGTACCATATATGATGGCCTAATAGGAATGTGAACCAATATAGTATAGCGGTTAAGAGGTTGATGTAGGTTGAAGTCTACTCTCAGCTATGGAAAATCACTGTCTTTTAAGCCAGCCATTTTGTCTCAAATGTCTATGGAGATTCAGGTCATAGTTGTCCAAAAGGTGCTTTTTGAAGAGGCAACTGGACTTGACGTTTCACTTCTCATCCTAGAAGCTTCTTCAGAATTGTTCTTCAGAACAGTTGCCTCTTGAAAAAGCACATTTGGGACATTCTTTCTCAAAGTTGGTAGTTTTGAGCACATATATAGGAGGAAGGAATATTATATAGGAAAGGCAGACATAAAGAAATAACACATTTTCCAAGACCCAAGACCCTTCCGACAGATCTTAAAAGTGGCTCCTTCACATATTCACACAATTGGTAAAAGAGAATTTTTATAACTCAGCATTGAAATGAGGGGTCCTTGGTGTTCTCTGAGCTTGGTTGTTTTCTTTCAAATGTTTCATTACATCTGCAAGAAAACAACCAAGCTCAGAGGACATTAAGGACCCTCATTCACAGAATCTATTGATGATTATAAGATAGATGGTGAAAGAAATAAGTGATGTGGGATAGAGATGGGATTCCATAGAGGATGGAAAGTAGATGAAGGAGAAAATCTTTTACTCAGGGATTCTTCAGATTCAAGTATTATATTTTCATTCTGCTTTGGAAAATCCCAGCCACCTTCATGCAGACATTTCCCCCCCCCGCTTCCCCCCCCAAGTCTCCCCTCACAGAAAGAATGAAGAGCAGAAAACCAATTTCCTCTCCCTATTTATAGCAAGGCTGATGTGGAGTAGAAAAACAGAGGGCCAACAAGATAAGGTTTATTTAATGACATTTGTTTTTGAGTCTTATTTCCCCACTGAAATCATTGCATGACTGTGATTTATCTGACCTTTTCTATGAGATGTGTCCATTTTTAATCATAATTTCTCTTGAACTTTTCAGAAACTCTGGGAAAAATATCACATGTGCGGAATCAAATCGTAAAAATTATCATTGTAATTTTACAATCCTGAAGAACCAAACAGAATACAACTTCACACTACATGCTTCCAATCATCTCGGCCAATCAGAAGCTTCCCTCATAATTGATATTAGGCATAGAGGTGAGTTTTTTTTTTATTTGTGCTGTGGTGAAGAACTTTTTTTTAAAATTTGAAATTATTCATCATTAATTAAAGTTTTATTTATCTACTGTGGAAAAGATATATTCAATTTATAGGTTCTTCTTCTTCTTCCTTCTCATAATAATAATAATAATAATAATAATAATAATAATAATAATAATAATAATAATAATAATAATAATAATAATAATAATAATAATAATAATAATAAAGTTGGAAGGGACCTTGGAGGTCATCGAGTCCTTCCTCCCTCCTCCTCCTCCCCCCCTCTCTTTGTGTGTTTGTGGTTTAATGAATAAAGTGTTAATTTAGAAACAAGGAAAGCCAGCTTTGAGTCCATCCTCAGCTGTGGAAGCCCACTAAGTGAATTTGAGACATTCATTGCTTCTCATCCCACTTACCTCAATGGTGGTGGTTGTTTTCAAAAAGTAGAAGTAGATAGCACTGTGAATTCGGTCATGAGCTCCTGAATGAATGGCAGTATATAAATCTAAAAAAAATTCTGATATATTTCAGTATCATTCCTTTTCCCTATCACATTCCCTATCAGTATCATTCCTTTCCCCTATCACTCCTATTTTCTCCACTGCAACAGCCTGAGAAAGAATGTGATGGAAACATTTGTAGGGATGACCTTGGAGAAAGAGAGGAAGAGAAGCTGCCTAGGAAACAATCAGGCAAGAGAGGGAGGAGCCCCCAGTGGCTTAATGATAAGCGGAAGAAACTTTAAAAGGACCCGCTGTCCTAATGCAGTGTTTCTCAACCTTGACAATTTTAAGGCATATGGACTTCAACTCCCAGAATTCCACATGCCTTAAAATTGTCAAGGTTGAGAAACACTGCCCTAATGGATCAAGCGGTTAAAAGTGGTGGTGGACGTTTTGTACTTTCAGATCAGGTTATTGCAGGAACAACTGAGAAATAGTAGGTGTGTGTGTGTGTTCGTGTGTATGTGTAGAGAATGATAAATGCTAGCCAGATTTCATTCTAGACAGAATTTATGGGTCATCATAGATCAGTGGAAAATTCAAATTTATTCCTAGCAAGGATTTTGGGTGGAATGTAGAAACAAAATCCTTACTGCTCATATGCTAATGTGTTAGTTTACCATTTTGTGCTGCATTGGTTTGCCCTCTAATAAACATAGGTTAGGATTTTTTTTTTAACGAAATATGTTTGTTTTTGCTTTCCAGTTTACCCACATACTCCTGCAGACTTAAGAGTGAGCAGTGTAACTTCAACCAGCTTCAGACTGTCTTTTTCTTTGCCTGGCAATTTCAAAGAAACCAAACTGCTATGTCAGGTTCAAATTCCCAGTGGCCCTTTCCAAGAAGAAAGGGTAGGCATCCTATGACATTTTTATAATATATTATTGCCATGTCTAAAAGGCAAAATTATACTCATCCTTTGGCGCCTCTTCTTAGACATGCCCTGACTCTGTCTTTATACAGTACTTGGATTATACATGTAGTTTACTTAGTGACCCCTTCTCCTGTCTTCCTCTTATAAAGAACTATTGTTTATTTGCTTAATTTATATGCCATTTTTCTATCCAAAGAAAATGCATGCCCCGTGCACATGCAGCATTTTTAAAAGACCTGCTGTAGATCCTACTGGTTTGTAATGAGAAGGATAGTCCCTCAAAAGCCAGAGCCCAAGCATTTAACAGGAATGGGATCTTCTACACAATCACTGGAATTTTCTTTTACCACAGTTGCTGAAAATTGATGACGTATTGCTCATCATCTACAGGTGGAAAAGCATATGAAAACTGTACCCAAAGCCCCATTATATGCTTAAGATGTCAAACACTTCAACTGCACCCCAAAGCAAGAAAAAAAACCCCATCCCACTTGGCCTTGCTTCCTGCAACTTCAGGTCCCCCTGAAATGCCATAAGCACACCAGACCAAATAAAGATCTCTCTTCCTGCTCAAAAGGGGAAAGCCCCACTACTGTAAACTGCTGTAAATTGTAGTAAAAAAAATGTAATGCAACTCTTTCAAGACTGACTTGATGATGCACTGTTTATCAGGCTCACTGCTGCATTGACCCTAACATGCTCTTTAAGGTGAGCCCATAAAAATGGAATTAAATCCTTTCTTTCATTTTTATAGCAAATACAGCTTTACCATTTGCTGTATAGCAAATAGAGCAAGTGTTGTTGAGGGTTTCATTGACTTCAACCCTTCAATAACACTTGTGCACTGGTAAAACTGTATTAGCTAGAAAAAAAATGAAATGTGGAAAAAATATTCCCATTTTGTTAGTTCCCCTTTTATTCATCCTTTGATTTTCTTTCACCTGTCTGTTTGCTCATCATATAAGAACATTTGACTACTGGCTTCCTGGAAATAATGCATGTTTGCAAGCATAGTTGATTGGGTATATCAGTGCTCTGCCTTCTACCAGGCACTAATTAGGTGGAACCAGCAGATTGTTTTTGCAACATTCATTGGTTGCACAGCATTCAGAGGAACATTAGATCTCTCTTGCTGTGTCACATATGAAAGGGATCGATGCATTTTTTCCCCCTTAAGTTTGTATGCTCCTACAAAAGAGTGATGCACACATTATATAAACAGCCTTTCATGGCATGGATCAGGTTATCTGAGGAACCAGCTCATTCCAATGAGATTAGCCCACCCCATCTGCACTGGCAGAAAAGGATGCTGCAGACCTCGTTGCTCAAGGAATTGTGCCTAGTGGCATCCAGAAGAACCTTTTCTACCAAGGTTCACAACCCCTGGAGTATCCTGCCTCTGAGTGACATCCCCCCCCCTTTCTGGACTTCCAAAAGGGCTTGAAGACCTGGGTCTGCCAGCTGGTCTGAGGACCCAATGGGGGAGTGGCATCTTGAATTTAATGGATTAATTAGATACCACCTATTCCCCATGCACACTCTGCTCCTTTCCTTTCTATCTTGGTTAATTGAATTTTAACTGAATTTGAAATGTATGATGGTTCTTCTTTATTGTTTTCATGTTTTATATGGTATTTGAATTGTATGACTGTAAGTTGCCTAGAGTCGCCTCAGTGAGGTAGCAAAGAACTTTAATAATAAAATAAATAAAATCTGGACCCACAATGATCATTCTAATTATCAGCTCTTTGACATAAAGATATGTTCCTGTTTTCTTCTTTAAGAATGTACTGCTGAATAATTCAGAAAATTCACGTTATACAATCTTAGTGGACAAATTGCGTCCATACACAAATTACATTTTCCGAGTTCGCTGTGCAACTCCAGTGCCTTTCTTTTGGAAATGGAGTAATTGGAGCAAGAACAAGACCGACACAACTCAACAAGCCCGTAAGTTTATTAAATTTTGGATGGCTATGAATGAAAATTGAAATTAAACATGAGTCCTCATGATTTTCTATGATTATGAGATTCACCTAAAAACACCATCAGACATCTCTAAGTACCAAGTGCATCCTAATAATTATGGATCTGACCATTTTTGGCTTTGCCATGGCCCAAATCATGCATGAACATCCTCTTCATTTTGCATGATTTTCACATGGGATCAACATGAAAACATTGTAAAATTGCAGAACATGATTATCTACACACAATCACAGCTGGAATCATGAATCTGAGAAGTGAATCTTTAATAATCATATTGTGTTTTATAGGTCATAACCACCAAAATAAATTTTATAAAGTACCAGAAATTCTTCCAAAACACAGATTGACTGTAGTGTCACACTGATCTATTATTTGATAGTTTCAGATAGATTCTACGTAAAAAAAAGTTCCAAAAACAGAAGCAGAAATAATAGTAGATTATTTAAAAAGCTGTTCCTCAGTAAAACTTTGTCTTACCACTTTATGAGTCAAACTTAAATACATAAATGAAAACATTCAAACTCACAACTCAAAACTTCACAAATTTCAGACCATCTGATATGTTAATTTGTACAACTAAAATGTTACAGCTATTTTGCAATTAATTAATTGAAATGTTAGTAGTAAGTAACATTTGGTGTATCCAGAATATCTTTAGGCTAAATGATATAAGAAAAGTCTATGTCTCTGTAACTATAAATAATTTTTCCCCATTGTTTTTTTCCAAACAATGAAAAAGCTTCAGGGTTGCAAATTGTACAATGCCTGATGAATAAAAATTGGACAATACATAAACTGGTTTTTTAAAAAGAAAATGTACCTATTATGTATGCCTGTTAACAATTAATACTTTCATTAATGCAATTAACCACTCTTCTCCTAGAACCAGCAAGAGAGCTTGATATCTGGAGAGAAAAAGATGCTAATGATACAGTCACTCTCTTTTGGAAGGTATATATTGAGATTTTTGTGTCTAAGTTCCCATTAACTCTGTTTTGAATATCAATTTTTAAAATGTATTTTATTAGATTTTTTAAAATCCCTCTTTTATTACTTTATAAGTAACTCAAGGCCTCAGACATACCTAATACTCCTTCCTCTTCCTATTTTACCCACAACAAGTGGGTTGGGCCGAGAGAGGATGATTGGCCCACTGTCACCCAGTTGGCTTTCATGACTAAGGAGGGACTAGAACTCTCGGCCTCCTGGTTTTTAGCCTGGTGCCTTAACCGTTGGACCAAACTGAGTCAATATTTAATTGACTGAAGATTGAATTTTCCTTGAACTTTCACATAACTCTTTCAAAGGCATATCAGCACCATTGGGAAGATTTCTCCTCTCAGCAGTCATAGGAGAAATGGTTTTGTAAAAATATCCTCAACACGGTCAGATGCAACATTGTCAGGAATATACATGGATGGTCAACCATGGTGGTGATTTTGGCATGTGTAGAACATCTCTTCAGGCAAGATATGCTTGTGTGCCCCATGCCAAGATTCCTTTGACCTGTCCCACCAAATGTTGTCTTCTGGACCGTTTGTATGTCTTTGTGCTATAAGGACAGTTGTATAGCAGTGGTTTGCCCAGTGCTTTGTAAATAGAGGACGATGAGGAATATTTATGACAGACTTTTTTAAGTCATTTGTTTATTCTCTCACTTCCTTTCTTCTTTTCCTTGGAATAATTATCTGTTTGTGTTTACAATCTTTTTCTGGGCAGCCACTCCCTAGTCTTGAAAGCAATGGATTGATAGAGACTTATGAGGTATATTGGACACTGCCAGATAAATCCACAAAGAATGAATCAGTTCCTGCATCCCAAAACTCCACCAAAATAAAACTTTGGAAAAATGATTACATATTTACGGTGAAGGCAAAGAACAAGGCGGGTGTTTCTCCTCCTTCTTCAATCAATAGTGCTGAGCTTCCAGTGGGTAAGTAAGAGAGGAAATTGACATTGTTTATAAGTTGTGGGAGGAATGAGCGGAAAAGGTCCAGTGAGACTTTATGCTCAAAAACAACAATATCACCTTTTCATGATTTTTTTTAAAAAGCATGCTGGTTAAAAAAATAGATGGTATTTGCAGTATTTCAGTTTCCATTAAAAGTCCTATAAACAGCAGAAGATTGGTCCAAACATTAGATGTTCTACCCACTCTGAGAGTGTGGGAAAATTTAGATAATCCTGCATTGCTTTTATAAGCTGAATTTTGAACAAGGTTTTTGGCAGCATATGTTTCTCCTCTTCTTGAGCAAATAAACA